CTGAGACCTGTTCTAGATTCGCTGGTCCCAGTGTGTGCTGTGCCCAGGAAATGTCTACTTGTCTTATTGATTCTGTTTGTTTGTTTGTGAACTCCTTAGATTTTTATTTTAAGGGGGGACGGGGTCTGGGAGCGGTACCCGAGGTTTGCAAAGCTGGAGGGAGTCGAGGGAGGGGAGGAAGAAGGAGGAGGTAGCAAGTGGTTCGCGAAAGAAGTGGCTGTTTGGAAGGATAAGTCTGTGGCTGTGTCTCTTTCAGGACACCATCCAGCAGTTGGAAAATGAGCTTCGGGGCACAAAGTGGGAAATGGCTCGTCATTTGAGAGAATACCAGGATCTCCTCAACGTCAAGATGGCTCTAGATATCGAGATCGCTGCATACAGGTACCGTGCTCGCGGCGGACGTGGCCGAAATGGTGGCCGCACTATAGAGGCCCTTCAGGCAGGAACCTTCACCGCTTAAGCTAAAGCAAGCAAGTTGCAGGAGTCTCAAATCAGTGCCTGGTTTTCTGCTTAATTAGAAAGTAGTTAAAGAATTGCACCTTTTTATGCAGCTTTAAAAGAGTAAACAGTAGTTAAAATGTTTGAATAAAGTGTTTAGAGGAAGAGCGCCGATTAATTTCAGTGCTTATGCTTAAACTTTTTTATTTTAGTGAAACAATTGTTTTCAAATATTTGAAACAAAAACAGAATTTTAGTTTTTGATATTTCATCTAGTGCTTTCAGCTTTTCAGCTGTGTAATGTCAAGGACAAACACCAGGACGTCCCATTTCTCGCTCGGTTACAGCTTACCATTGCCATCATCTGGCTGAGAATAAATATGATTGATACAATATATATGTTTTTTATTTAGATTTATGTCTATAGATCTAGATATACATCCAGAGAAGGAGAAGAGATTATAAATATATTAACCGATGTCACCTTGCTGTTGACTAAGTTCATAGGTGAAAATCCTTGATGAAATAGGTTTTTTGGGGGGGGAGGGAGGGGTTGTTTTTATTTTTGTTTTTTTTACCAGTAAGATCATTCATATTACAAGAATAAACTGCACTCAGCTCAGAGCCATCTGTCTTTTCCAGAAAGCTGAATAGTTGTATAAAATAGACACTTTATGATTAAAATCGCAGACCAGGTTATAACTCGATATGCACATGTTAGCACCTAGCTGTGATATATTAGCTTGAATTCTAATATATTCTAAATAGTTTTGTAAAATTTTTGAATGTTCGCTAAAGGACATTTAATATACATCTTGAAAGTCCAAATGCTCAAGAACGTCACTTAAGGCATTTTTGGCCTCTAGGGAGCTTTTCAGCATATTCGCGTTGCACCAAAAGGATCGCGGCAGAGCTGAGATTTGGTAGCTGCGTGTAGTGAGTGGACCATTGGGCGTGGTTAGTTACTGCATTGGGTGACTGGCTGATTGTCCCCGAGAATCTGTTTCTGTCATGGAGTGTGACACAATATACTAGTGAAATGATAGCAAGTGTTACTTCAAGTGATTCTATTTCTCCAAAGGTACCTACCACGTTACACGTACTGTAATGAAGTTCAGAAGACCCGATGAGATTTTAATTACATCTTGCCTTCTTTGACTCTCTCCTTAGGAAACTCCTGGAGGGTGAAGAGACCAGATTTAGCACATTTGCAGGAAGCATCACCGGGCCGCTGTACACACACCGACAGCCCTCCATCACAATATCCAGTAAGATTCAGAAAACCAAGGTAGAGGCTCCCAAGCTGAAGGTCCAACACAAATTTGTCGAGGAGATCATAGAGGAAACCAAGGTGGAAGATGAGAAGTCAGAAATGGAAGAAGCCCTGACGGCCATTGCAGAGGAATTGACAGCTTCCACGAAAGAAGAGAGCAAGGAAGAAGGGGCCGAAGAAAAGGAAGAGAGGAAAGAAGCCGAAGAAAAGTCTCCGGAGAAAGCTGCCGCACCTGAACTTAAAGGACACGAGGAGGAGGCCAAAGAGGGAGAGGAGGAAGAGGAAGGAGCCAAGTCAGACCGAGCTGAGGAAGGAGGATCTGAGAAGGAAGTTTCTAGTGAAAAAGAGGAGGAAGGAGAGACAGAGGCCGAAGGGGAAGGAGAGGAAGCCGCCGAAGCTAAGGAGGAAAAGGAAATGGAGGCGAAGGGTGAAGACGTGGCTCCCAAGGAGGAGCTCGTGGCAGAAGCCAAGGTGGAGAAGCCGGAGCAAGCCAAGTCCCCGGTGCCAAAGTCACCAGTGGAAGAGGCGAAGCCCGAGGCGGAGGCCGGAGCCGAGAAAGGGGAGCAGGAGGAGGGGGAAGGGAAAGTGGGGGAAGAAAAGAAGGAGGAAGCAAAGGAGGCTCCCAAGGGAGAGAAAGGAGAGAAAAAGGCGGAGCAGCCAAAGGCTGTGCCAGAGAAGCAGAAGGCCGAATCGCCAGTGAAGGAGGAAGTCGTGGAGGAGGCGGTCGCCAAACCAGTAAAGGTGAGCTTGGAGAAGGCTGCCAAGGAGGAGGAAAAGCCGCAGCAGCAGGAGAAAGAGAAAAAGGAGAGAGCGGAAGAGGTGGGGAAGGAGGGAGCTTTGAAGGGTTCCAGGAAGGAAGACATAGCCATCAATGGGGACGTGGAAGGAAAAGACGAGGTAGGGCAGGAAGCCAGACTTGGGCTAGACTTGAGCCCAGCAGATGAAAAGAAGGGTGGTGACAGAGGTGAGGAGAAAGCGGTGGTGACCAAAATGGTAGAAAAAACCACCAGTGACGGGGCAGATGGTGCTACCAAGTATATCACCAAATCTGTAACCGTCACTCAAAAGGTCGAAGAGCATGAAGAGACCTTTGAGGAGAAATCAGTGTCTACTAAGAAGGTAGAGAAGGTCACTTCACACGCCGTAGTAAAGGAAGTCACCCAGAGTGACCAATAGACGAGTCCATCGCAAAAGGTTAAGCCATATGACAATTTCAAAATGCATGTGATTGGCGGCTTCAAAGCAGAACGGGTTCTCCCATGGGGGCTGCAGACATTGTATTTTACTTTGTGCAATATGAGGGACCTGCATGCAAGCCCAGGGTGCTCCCTCCCCAGCGTTTGGGCGATTCGAATGCATGATACTGTGTGTACCTGGGGAAGTGGCCAATTTCCTAAGCTATTGGAAGGGGGGCGCTTGGGGGGATGTCTTGAGGTATATTATGCAAAGAACCAACTGAGCCAAAAATAATAAATGAAACACAGAACTCTCTTAGCCTTAAGAAAGCTATGTATGAATAATTATGTTTACCTCACTGGTGCATTTAAAAAGGACTTTTGTTCATGGGAGAACCTCGTTGACATGCAGTTCACAACTTTTCATTGATTGATGTTAAGCGTCACAGCAGTAGTTGCTCAATAAAGGTCATATTGGAAACATAGTCAGTTGCTTGGTGTAATGTCATTTCAAAGTGAATTCTCCACCGCTTGACCCTTTCTTTCCCCAGAGCAGATTATTTGGGGGATTATAAGCAGCTTGCATTTCTTATCACTATTTCCCTGAGAGCGGTTACTGGGAAAACATAATTGACAAAAACATTTTCAGGTGTCAAAATCTTTACTTAGCCCAACCTTCATCCCAAAATTTTTTAATTATATTTTTGAAATAAAAATAAAAGCTTCTGGGGCTTCCCTGGTGGCGCAGTGGTTGAGAGTCC